CAGGGCAAGGTACATTTCCCAGTCATGAAGTCTGCAAAGAACTCATCCCAGGGGTCAAAGGATGGCAGCACTGGCAGGTTGTTGCAGAAATGGTAATAGGAGACTGCCTTGTCCTTGGGGTTCTGAACTAGCACAAGGAAACACATAATGTGGTTATGATTTGATGACTGACCAAAACACCATCTTCTCAACACATCACGTAGTATCACAGAATCATTTAGGTTGGAAAAGACCTCTCAGATCATTGAGTCCAACCATTAACTAAGCCCTGCCAAGTCCACCACTAAACCATGTCCCTAAGCACCACATCTACACATCTCTCACATACCTCCAGGGATGGGGACTCAACCACTTCCCTGGCAGCCACTTCCAATGCTCAACAACCTTCCATCAATAATTGTTTTCTAATATCCAGTCTCAATCTCCCCTGGGGCAGCTTGAGGCCACTTCCTTTTGTCCTGTCACCTGTTACTTGTGAGAAGAGACCAACCTGCTCCTGATTGCAACCTTCTTTCAGGCAGTTGTAGAGAGCAATAAGGTCTCCCCTGAACCTCCTTTTCTCTAGGCTAAAGAAACCCAGCTCCACCAGCTGCTCCTCATAAGACTTGTGCTCCAGACCCTTCTCACCTCTGTTGCCTTCTTTGGACACACTCTAGCACCTCAAGATCCTTCTTATAGGATAATGAGAGGTCCAGAACTGAAAATGGTGTTCAAGGTGTAGCCTGATCAGTGCCAAATACAAAGGAACAATCACTTCCCTTGTCCTGTTGGCCACACTATTTCTGATAAAATCCATGATTTAATCTTTGGGTAAAATTGTTCCTTATATGGCTGTTATTTGTATTGTAGCCAATATCTTTTTAGAAGTTAAATAGTAGAGGTAGAGAAATACATATCTCCACAGATCATCCAAACACACAGACAATACAGGATGGCTTAATTGCCCTGTGGAGGGTCTTTCACTCTCTTTTCATGCTCTGGAATATACTATGAGTCCTGCTCACTGTGCATATATCAAACCCTTGCATTACATCCTTGTCTCTTCCATCATAAAAATAGACACTTACTTAGTAAATCCATACACAAGTTTAATTAAGCATGAGGAGTTGTTCAGTGACATACAGAACAATCTGCCTTGGATAGAAATGTTGGTATCAGAAGCATTTGCCGTACAATATAAAGAGAAAATTCACCTTAGCCAAAGATTTGCCTTGGCCTTGATTTGAGAAATCAGCTGGGAAAAGACATGAGGTAAGAAATAAGTTAATATAATTTTTCTGGTGTCTTCATCCCCTTGAAGCAAACAGACAAAAATACAATGTAAGCATCCTCTTCAATGGAAATATACCATTTCAGGAATCATAAGTAACAAAAAGACTAGATCAAAAGAAGGAATTTTTCTTTTTTTTAAGATGGGTGAGGATCTAGTAGTAATAATGTTTGAAAGCCACTGCTATTGTGTTAGACAATTATATCTTACCTTGAAAAGAGATTCCCACATTTTTCTGAATTGATTCTCACACTCACTGACTTCACCTCTGCTTATGTTTCACTCCCTCATCATGTTAGTAATCCATCGACTTTCCTAGCCTATGTTATTTTTCTGACACAGCAGCTTGCCCTGTCTATCCTCCCCTTCCTCAACCTCCTTACTCCATTGAATGCAAGGGCCCACAGTGTGTTTTAGTGGAGCAAAAGCATGTGAGGTGTTACTGCTTGAATAGCTTGATCCTTCAGAGTGGTATTGTAAGGGCACAAAGGGACTGAACCCAAACCTTGGCATGACACAGAAGAGAATAAACTGTAGAAAAAGTCATGGTCTGGTTTTCCATCAGATCAGCAAGGACATGGCTAGCCTTCATTATAGTTTAGGTGTTCTCCAACTAATTTTAGTCTACTTCAGTAGAGTAATGGTGATTCTCATTCCTTTCTTTCTCCTCCCTCTAGCTCTGATCCAGTTTGTGCTGAAACTATGGAAGACATCCTTTGTTATTAAGTTTGTGTCGCATTCATATTTTTGCTAATGATCTTTTCTATGAAGGTGTTTCTTGATTTAAAACATTTTTGAGGAAGAAATAATCTACATAGTAAATTATTGTAATATTATCGAGAAAGATGGGATTTGGCTACAAAGAGAAGGAGCATTTCCTTCCAGGCGACAGCTACAGGAACAGTGCTGTTGAATTTTTGGGAATATGATTAGTTGACATGTTTTTCAGCAAATGGGTGTAGACAAAGCCAGCCAAAGATCTGACCAGAAGAAACAGCCATCACTGTCACTATAAAGACCACTGAAATGTTTTTATTAAAGTAATTCAAAGATGCTTTGATAATTTGATTGAATTTTCTAGTATAGAGCATTCAGGTTATCAGAGTGTGCCTCAAAAAGTTCTTGTTCTAACCATAATTCTAACCACTTTTCAGGCTTTACAGTACACTTCATACTTTAACTTTTTTCCCAGTTTAGTTCCTCCTACATATTCTTCAAATGCTTTGTCCATTTTCTCATTCTGATCTTCACTGAAAAGATTCTTCCAGTCACTTACACCACCTGCAGAGAAGAAAAGAAACTCGAAAATCAAGAAAAATGCTTCTATACTTCTG